TTTTAGTATATTAATTTATTAAAAATATTTAAATCTTTTAATTATGATTTCTAATATTTAAATTATTAAAATATCTTAATTTTCTATAATTTCTTATTTTTATAACGTAAATATATTTATTCTTTTGATTAGTTTAAATTTCAAACTACAAACTACTAACCACAAACTTCAATATACTAAACACATCCTTAGAACTTAAGAATAACTTGTTTTTTCTTTTTTTTTTTCTGGGCATTTATGTTAGTTGAATTATGAAAATTGCAGTTCAAATGAAAAGAAATTATGAGTAGTGGTAAATTAATATTGTCTATTTCTATTATTCACGGTGAGTATTTTTAGATATAGATAAAATATAATCTATATTTGTGACCAGGGTAAATTGGAGAAAGAGAGAATAAGATCAGTGAAGTTAGAAGGCTCAACCCACAAAAAGTAATTTTTACTTAATTAAGAGTTCTGGCCACTAAGTTAAAGTGTGGGAATCAAATATAATCTATATTTATTACTTAATTAAAAAAATTTTAGATATAGAACCATGGATGAGTATTAGATAGGTAAAACATTATCCCTTATGTTACTCTAACGAAAAAGATTCGGAGTAAACGATTATCCTCTTTTAGCTTTTTGAAATCTTGATGACTTGAGTTAATTTTTCCAAAACTTGGAAGTCTTTTTGGTCTTAAGTCAACTTAATTAATTAGTGCCAAGCGAGCACGCAGGAGGGCTGGTTAATTTTAATTCTCCCTTTCACAAATCTTTTGCCCCACCATAATATTATAGCTTTTACGGCTCCTGTGCTGCTGTTGTGCAACGTGAAGACGAGGAAATCACATCTTTGCCCCAAAATACAAGTTTTAAAAGTCTTGTGCTGCTATTATGCAACGTGGAGATGGTGCAAAATTACCATAAAAATTACATAACGTCCGCCTTCCATTAACAGGTTCTTCCAACATGGTGATGACTAGGACAGTAATAAACCTTTTTAAATTTTTTTATAAGTTCATTTATATATATTATATATTAATATTATGATAGAAGAAAGATAAAATAGTGTTGTGAATATTTTTGATATAATTTTAATTCATAAAATTTTTATCACTTATTTTGAAAGAAATAAGTTTTTTTTTTCTATAACTTTTCTTATATTGGATCTTCTTAATAATGTTTTTACTAACTTTTTTATATTAATTTTTTACTAAACACAATAAAATTAATAATTCAATAAAATTTTATCAAAATTTAATAACTTTTCATATAATTTTTTTTAATTTGTTGTATAAAACCTTTTAAATTACTTTTCTAATAAAAACTTTCTTCATAAAATGACCATATAACCAAATACACCCTTAAATTCTTATTTAACATGCCGGGTCCCATAAAGGCATTAAGTACTAGTAACCAAAAAAAAAAAAGCTAGTTTAAACCCTTTTTTTTTTAATGAAAATTAGCTAATTTAAACTGATGAACTATTTGATTAAGTTAAATGAAATTAGTTTCATAAATTATAGATATTTTCTAATGTTCAACTATTTTTTTTAGTTTGTGTACCTTGCAAATTTTCTATTTATATTTTATGTTTATATTAAGATATTTCACTATTTAGCCTTGGTAGTGTTTTATGAGTATGTAGTTTTTATGTCTTATGCAATGTGAAAATGTGTTTTAAGAAATACTGAAGACTTGGGAATTTTATGTTAAGAGCTGCATTATATTGGATACTCTATTGCATGGTTGAAAGTTCCAAACTTTGACCATGAATATGTGAGAATTTTATTTTGGCTATTTTTTATACTTAGTTGAGCCATTCTTCCTATCTCAAATTTTCATCTCTAGCTTTCCTCTTTTTTTTTTTCTTTTTTTTTTTTTTT